GACTGTACAGTCGCGCTTCTGGTTGGCCTTGAGGTGTATGGACGATTCGTTTCATTGATGAAAGTAGTAGAGCTCTCCTACTAGTAGGGTTGTTTTAACGGTTATCAGTCCCCGTTGGGATGGTAATAGCCATCTGTGTTGTCGTCGATGTCATCTAACGGGAGGCCCTACTACTACTAGTAGGGTTCTTCTACTTTGGCTGGATCCACCAGTGTTAGCCATTATTCTGTAGTTGCTTTGCCACAGACTTTAACATGTGCTTTGAAATTCAGTCTCGCATTAATCATAACGACAAAGTATCTCAGTGAGTTTTGCGTTGTAACGTTGCATCTACAGATATTTAAGGTGACCGTTTCTAGTTTTCTCTGAGCTCTCGTGAGCTAATCCTTATTTTTTGTTCTAGAATATTTGAGCATCTTTTGGTAGCGATAGGCGTAACATCCCATTGTACAGTACACTCAATGCCTGTGAGACAGATAGCCGCTAATTATCCTTGGCAGATATCTTACCTCAAGAGCCCTGATGATATGTGGCCATTCAGAATTAACAATAGAAAGACGGCAACTTATTATGTACCTCAATTACCTCAAAGCATTTCACACGTCAAGCGCAATATTTTTTATCGCCTTACATCCATCTGGTTCCCTCTACGACCTTGGCTGCAATGTCCATCAATTTTCCCGACTAGGCACACAGAAAAAAGTTCATTCTTCTTGCTGTGTTTAGCTGCGAACTTAAGTGCCTTGTTCCGGATGCCATCAAGTCCAGTCGCCTTTGCATTACCGAAGCTCTCCGCCACTTCTACTGCTGCCCCGTCGATTGACAAAGCTTTCACCACTGATGGCATTCTTCTAATCGTTTGCTGCTGTTGCGTAGGCGTTTTCAACATCTTTGCTTGCAGGGTAAGACAGGTTGGTGCCAGATTTCTACCTCCCCTGACCATTGCCATTACTATTGCATGGACATCACCACACCGATTTTCATCCACCTTCTCGCATAGTTCTTTGAAGCTTCAGGTCTTACTTATTTTAATAGTCTTCTAGAACTCATTACGCTTTCTTTCAAAGCACTCATGTAGTCGACTGTGTTCTGTCGTTTTAAGCTTTTTTTGGAGAGGCGTCTCGCTTTATGACACTCGCTTCTTAGTGCGCCAATCTCTTCGTTCCACCAGTATGCAGACCTTCGAGATGCTTTTTGTCTGATTTTGTCAGCGTCGCAAACTTTACTTCCGTAGATGACCAGTTTTTTAGTTTGTCGATCTAATTCTATTGAGCTACACAGTCTTTCAATGGCTTTTTCGGAATGCCTCGATTCCCGGTCTGCTTGTCGATTACCAGCATAATAACAATGTGAACACCATGTGTGTAGAAGTCAACGTGCAGATCGAGCCAGCGAACTGCTGATGATCGTAATATCTATAGTCGATCCGCGGCCATTCTTCTCGAATATATTTCCACTGCCGGTATTTAGCAGCACTGCGTCTAGTAAAGCAAACGCTTTAAATCCCGCCTGTTTGAGTTGTTACTACCCCATTAAATTGCCCACACATTGAAATCGCCTGCTATCACATTTGTCTTGGTATAATCACCTTTTACGCCTATCTTATGGTTTTGATCGCACTTTCCCTGAGAGAGCTTAGCTTATTAATTTGTGATCATATTGCCTCTTTCGTTGTTACCACATCTATGTCGCTGATCTCTACCGATACCTCATGGGTTAAGGCTCTTATATGTGCCTGATTACCGAGCACCTTCCATATCCCCTTTTCATATGGACCCGTGTTCGTCATCTCTGCGTTCTTCGTTTTCAGGAGTATCCCGCCGTTTGCCGTCTTCCTGATTCGCGAAACTTCTTCCTCAAGTTCTTTGAGGGCCCCTTCCCTCTTGACAACTCTAATTATATCGCTCTACGTCATGTTTAAAGAGCGTGAAATGATAATCGCAACCAGTATCGGACGTGGAACATGAACAGCCTTCTTCTTCGGCTTTAATATTTAGCGTTTCACATGGGTCTATCCATTTTCCTTTACCTCATCTTTCCTTTCTTTTATAGGAATGTTGCCATCATGCCTCTTTTGTACCTCCTCATAACTGGCTTTTTTCTTTGACTTTCGCGTCAGCTGTTCACCTCGCGGGGCTTTTTGACGTTGAATCTGCTGTTGTGAGCTTTAAGTAGGGTTGCCAGACGTACTATATTTATAGTATTGTAATATATTTTTCGCTTGAATACTATATACTGTTCACAATAAATATAGTACGCTAAAATACTATATTTATGCTCTAAGCAATTTAATTCATACTTTTCTAAAAATTTGAATCCCAATTCATGCATAATTTTTTATTTTTTTCGCAACTGCGAAAATCGGCTGATAAAGCTGTGCACAAAAGGTTTGAATTTGCGAATATCTAACATATCGATAAATCGATAAAGTATTGTAGGCACTAGCTCAATCAGTTAGGCATTTCCTTCCATATACAAACATTTTCAAATGAAAAAAAAAATTTAACCAGCCGTAATATTCAGCAGCTTTACAATTACACTTAATGGCACTTAAATTGATTAAGATATGAAACTGAATAGCAACCAACATTTTTTTTTTTTAAATCCTTACAACAAAGTTTTAAATTTAGATGAAATTTTGCTGAGTTTTTCTTTTTTTGGCACAAAGTTTGAAATTAAGATTTTTATGGCTTTTGTTAGATAAAGAGCGATATTTCAAAAATAACAAACAAAAAAATTTTTTCAAAATTTATCAATATGTCGCAAATCTATTTTATAGCCCGTATAATATAATTTACGGCGAATGTAATATTGGTAATATTTTTTAAGTTTTTTTTTTTAAATATTGCTTTGGTTTTCAAAAAATTTAAAGTGGGATTGAACTATTTAATGTGTCATTATAGGTATTCAATCAAATGCTCTTTGAACTGTATACGATTAATTGCGGTTATACGAATACCATTTTTTGTTTGTTTATTTTTTGTTTAAAACTGACTGGATTTGAATTGTTTTGTTATGTTTTTATATCTTTTTTTTAATAAAGAATTAAAGAATCACTTGTTGACTTTTCATGAAAAATACTATATTTTTATTGAAAATACTATATAAAATGAGGAAAAATACTATATTCCATAGTTTGAGAGCTGGCAACCCTATCTTTAAGGCTCGTATCGCCTAGTTCAGACATAATGTCCTCCATTTGGTGTTCGTTTCGCTTGAAGCGTGCTGTTATGCAGTGAAGGTAACGACGATCTCGCTGTTACAGGCTTTTCCACGGTAAGCGCCTGCTTTGGTAATCACACCAGTCTTGGTGCACGTTTAAAGAGGTCATCTTCGACGCTAAGTCCACTAGAGTCTTGGTCTTGGCTTTGAGTGCCGTTGCTCGTGATGCAGTCGTGTACACTGCTTCTATTGTTGTTGTTATGTTTTGTCAAATCATTCATCATTACCTGTTTGTTTCTGCCAGCGAATAATATGAAGGAGGGTGGGCCGAAATAGACAGAAACGGGTGTATCGTAGGAGAAAATGCTCCTACACCAGTTCACTGATAACTGTCTTTCGTTTTACCAGTCTCGGAAAACACAGACCGGTCGGCTCTCGCCCCGGGGCAACTCCTGCTGCGCCCAATGCACACTCCTTGACTAGGAACCGAAGTGGCTTTTCCACCATTCCATCTTCCCAACGCATAATAATTCGTCATGCCCAAACACGATGAGGGGACACATACCTCTATGAGGCGGTGTCCATTTGCCACTTAATGTGTACCTTAGGAGCAGAGTACTACATATGCCGAACTCTATATACCTTATACCATGCAGAAGATATTTATAAAGCTAAAGAGTATTGATATCCCCATTTAGTATGCCTTTTGCCGAAGTTTGCTTAGCCGACCATTAGCCAATTCTTTGCTGCAATTCTGTAATCAAAGCAGTATAAAAAAAAGACATCTATCAGTCTTCTAGAGAGCAGTGTACTATCAAAATGGGCTAAGCCCCATCTTTTATCATGCTTGATTTTAAATAAATTTAAGATTTATTAATTACTGCCAGGCTCCCAATCACTAGATTATGGTAAAACGAATATGATTTCAATGATTTGTAAGATTTGTTCTTGTCTGGTTTTAAATCCTTATTTCCATTTTACACTACAAAAACACAGAAAATATAAAATAAAATATCATGTACATATTTATAATATATATATTGGTTTCTCTGTGATGCGATACGAATATGAAAATGTTCGCATCTTCAATTTTGGTACTCTGTAATTCGACAATCGCAGTAAATTTTGAAATTTTCGAATTTAGTTTTTCCCTTTCGCATTGGCGGTACCCTGCTTTGCTAAAGCAATTGTCAAACATGCGTTATATTCGTAATTTTGGTGCTACAAGTATAAAGAAATCGCATTGCTTGAAAATGTAAGTTTCAAATATAAATTAGTTGTTTTAATTGCTACTAAAATATATAATGCCGTGCATATGAACTATTTTGCACAAATTTACAGGGAAGAACCGAAAATAAAACAACAAACTCAACCAAAGCAATTTGAAATTCTCGTGGATTTCATGAAGGCGCATCCCGATTTATCGAATGGATCACTAAAAACACCAGACGCCAAAAGTGCCTCCAATAATTTATGGAAAAAGTTAGTTTCCCATTTAAACGCCGCTGAGCCACCATTGGGCGACATTGAGGGGTGGAAAAAGGTAATTCCAATAATTGCACAGATAAATTATAAATGTGATTAAATGTAATCAATTAAATTTTTGGGCAGACTATAAGATTCACTTAAAGGCAAAAATGCGACGAAACAAAAATAATATTTCGGAAAATTGAGAAACTGGGAAATGTAAGTTAAATAACTATATAACTGCGAGAAGTAGAATAAAAAAATTTATATATTTATATTTAAATTTAATTTTCCTGGACTGGATTTATTAATTTGCAAATAGTTCGTTTTAATTAAGTTGAGTTACGAACATTTTTATATGTTTCTAGCAATAGTAATAAAATTACCACTATTAGGTAAATCTATATTAGTGGTGGAAAATTCTTCTGGCTCAAGTGTAATATTAATTGGTACTTCAACCTTGTACAAAATGCATATATTGTGTAGAGCGCAGCATACGTTCAAAATTTTAAGGACCTTTTCAGGCGCGTAATGTAGCTCTTTGCAGATAACAGGCATCGAAATCTCCCTTTCAATACACTAAACACGCGTTCAATTAGTGATCAGCCTTTTGTAAACTGTTGGTTGAAATAGAGTTCATCGGAACGTTCTGGCGCTTTCCTATATGGTGTTAGCAGCCAAGGTTCAAGAGGATATCCGGAGTCTTCTATAATAATAATAACAAAATCATATACATAAGTGTTGCTGAGAGATGTTGATAATTTCTTTGAAAATATCAATGCAATGTAATAATACATAACAATTTTATCTTATGGCGATTTAGCCGCCATAAGTTATTATTACAGTTATATATACTCACCAAGAATTCGTTCGCTTCTATTTCCATTTTCGTAGTTCGTCCTCAAACTTTCACGTTCTCCTGAGAGGTTCCATACGTGGAATTCATGCCACTTTAAAAAAGTTTTAGGTCATTGCACTGGAATCAATATATGTACGTGTATATTATTGTATTAATGTTCTTACCACCATTGCATTTATGCTGTGTTTTAGTTTCCGATTAAAAAAAAGTGTTCATTCCGTGATGGTCGCATCAACTGGATATGCGTCCCATCAATCGCTCCAATTACGCCTGGAATTTCGGACGTCACGTAAAAGGTTCTATTTGCTTCAATTTTTTCCTCAATGGTCAAGGGAAACACGATATGCTTTTTTTTCTCGATGGGATCGCACACTTCCAAGATGCATCGATTGTTGGGCTAGCCCTGAATGCCTATCTTGGCCGACCGAGTGTTGATACCCGCCTTGTGCGAGGGACCTCAAGGTTGTTGACAGTTTTACAATTTCTATCTCTATGTTGTCAAAAACATATAAAAATGCGCGCTTATTTAGGCGAAAATTTTGCATGAAGCTAAAAACACGAAAAGTGTAGATGTTAAGTACATTTTTTACTAACCTTTTATCGCCTAGAGATGTAATGTCCGAATTATATAATAATGATCCCACAATGCCACAGAATTCATGTTTAAATTATTTCACACAGTTTTAACGAACAAATTATTATTATTTTCTTTATTTTGCTACTTTGACATTTTTGGAAGTAATGCCAACTATTACATAAAAAAAAAAAGAAAAAGTTAACAACATTGTTAGTGATGTGTAAGCAATACAGAGTATCAATCGCATCGCATTGTCTTTCGCATCGCTTTACAGAGTAAGCCCTCAGGTTTGATTTGAAAACTAAAGATACTTTGAAGTAAACATAAAAACAGATGTCGAAATCTCAATATATGCCTTTTAATGAATGAATAATTAAATGCCTTTTATGAGATTTTGCTTTACAATTATCCAGTTGACAATCTTTTAAAGATCAATAATAAACTGCTAAAATGGAACGACCATCAATTTTGATATCATATTTTGAACATTTTTGTATCTTGTTGGAACCGCTCTCTCTTTCTTACTACTATTTCCTAAATTACAAACATTAACAAATAGTTCACCTTTAGACTTTTCCATACCAAGATTCGGCAACTTTCTACAAATATAATTAACACAAATCCTTCCAAGTCCAACGCTTAACAAATTAATATCAACAAATTGATATACCATTTCTTAAATTATCACGTATTAAATCCCTGATTTCATTTGAAAAAAAAAAACAAAAAAAACCTAGACGCAGATGTTTCACCCTCCCTTTCACTTCCACTGAGGAGTTGTAGTAAATTTGCCGGTATCATTATCTTGAAGTGACGACCTTGATTGAATTGACCATACCATCATTGACTGGATCGCCAAAAGTTCCTTTATAGACAGTAGCTGAGAACGACGAAAGTTGTAAAACACAATCACGCGTAAATCTTCAGGGTTTATTCTTTTGTCTATATAAGTTTCTATAAAGAAACGCAAGTGGCAACCGTTATCAAAACGTTCTAAGTATTTATAACACCAAAAATGTCAAACCAGAGAACGTTTATCATAGAGAAGGTTCACGGTGCGGGGAAATATATTTTTGGCTAACTCGGTCCAGATGAGGGAGTTCCACCACTGCAAGCTCGACAGGAGAAATCTTAACGGTTGGGCTTGAACAGAGCTGAGCATTGAATAAAAATTATGCTCAGAACTATATATGGCTGTTAGAGACTGTGTTAGCTCTTTTGCTTATATTTTTATACGTTTACATGCAGACATCTGTATTTATGAATACAGGTGCAATTGAATACACTTGAATTAAATTACTTCTTCAAAGCAATATTCGTAGTTAATTTGAAAATAAGGCCCATTTTTTAATTATTTCTTGTATTTGATATATTCATACTTATGTGTATACTTCATTACATACATATGTATATAACATATCATCATAATATAATAATAGATGATAAACGTTCTCTGGTAAAACTTTACAATTAAATTGTCAGTTGGCAGATTGCAACACTAGGGTTGCCAAATCCCGAAATATAAAAGGCAACCTACGTATTTCTGAGGACATGCAAACTACTTTTGAAATCCAAACGGAAATTTCCATTCAGTAAAAATGGAAGTGCAGAACCCTAATCATAACTGAAAAAATAAATTGTATTATTAAAAATCTGCTATATGATCAAAATTTAAGGAAAAACGGAAGACACATAATATATTTTAATGAATAAATTTCTAATCCTGACACTGGAAATACAGAAATTTTGTTAAAATGTGCAGAACAACAAAAAATATATTTTTGGAGGTGCTGTGTTATAAATACAAATATACCAAACGTTTTTTTAATTTCATTTGGTTTACAAATACGTTTAAAATTGCATATTATTTGCTTTTGTAATTTAAAAGGTTTAACAGCAAATGCGATATTTTTACACCTTTGAGAGTAACACAGGTGTATAGAAAACACCAAATGGTAAAAAGTAATAAGAAAACAGTACAAATAGGTTGAGCTATTGGCGTTACATGTACATTGAAACGCATAAAGAAAAGCACCATCGGCGGCAAGTCATCCAAATCCTGCAATGAAAGAATGTTATTTTAATATTAGTTACTTAGGATATTATTATATTTTATTTTTTATTTTATGTATGCGTTAAAGTAAAATAAAGCATATATTACTCAATAAAAGTTTACAATAACTTCGAAAATTGTTTGCGTTACATTGTACATATGTCGGTATACAATAAAATAAGATTTAAAAAATTAGCGGTATGAAAAGTATTTAAATATTTTAATAACACTTGATACGGAGGACTCTATTAAAACTTAGAAATAATAAAAAAAAGTTTAATGCAACGTTCATAAAATACAAGTACACGACAACCGTTGACGTCATTAAACCAATATACCTACAGTTGGGCGATTTAAAAAAAAAAATCACAAGATATATCTCTGTTTTGTGTGCGTAGGAATAGATTTTTATGTTCGTTTTGTTAAAATAATACACTGCTGCAACGTTATTAAAATTTTTAAATTTTTAAAAGAATGAAAAAATAATTGCAAATCGAAAATTTTTTTAAAAATGTTTTGATTAAAATAAGTTTCTTACAAGTAAACTATAAGTTTAAAACTTTATGCGATTAATATATTAAGGTATTTTAAATTAATATTTTAAACGGTTTTTAATACCACTCAATTGAAAATAAATAACACCTATTTTCTATTTTTATCCAAAAATCACTTTTTTGAAGTGTTCAATGAATCTAAGCAAGAGGAAATTATAAAACCGAAAATTAAATTGACAATAATCTGACCTCATTCTGCCCGTGATTCAATTACATAAGGTTGTATAGATTGCCAAAAACAACAATTTATCAAAGGTAATTCGAACCATAATGACAAAATTAGCCGTTTTTGTTTTGTTTTTATAATTCAAAATTTTCAAGTAATGAAAATGCGTTTTACGTAATTTTTCTCACATATTTTACCATCCAACTTCCGTCTGATTGATACAACTATTCCAACTAATTTAGAACAGTTTAACGAGTTTTTACACTTTTTGAATCAACAACGGCAAAATCTTCGATATACCCTTAAGTTATATATGTATATAGTTACAATGCTCAATATACATACATACTTCTACGTAAAAAAATTCATGTTAAAAAGTTACTAAGGTGTACAGGATGTAAACTTCCGTTGATAAAGTCTATATAAAAAAGAAATTTTAATTATTAGTCACCCTTAACAGAATGAATATAAAATAATTTAACTTTCACAATTTTCAAATAAAATTGCTTTCATTAAATATAATATTCGTTATGCTTTCTTATGTCCTCTTTCAATTCACCCTCGTAGTGAGTGAGTATCGATTTGAATGTTCTACACTTGAAGATAGTATTTGGAAAATTATACTCACATATTCATACCAGAATGTCGGTATGACCATTTTACTGAACCGCTGCAATTCTTTACTATAACCAGCCATATCAGGTAAAGGAATATTTGATTGAAATCTGTATTTTTCTTCAATTGGTATACCAGATATTGGTTCTATTACTATTATGGCTTCATGGTCCTTTTGGTTTGGTGATAATCCTTCAAAATGTTCACTCCAATTGTAAGTCGAACCATAGAAATGCGGAAGTGAAAATGCAGAGGGAACGTCATCTATATTCATACAATAATAACTCAATTTATTACTATTTTTATAATGACTTACATTAATATTGGTGGAACATTGCTGCTTTAAGGAATTATCTAATGTTCTATGTACTTATAATCAGTTAGTTAGTTACAAATATTATAGATTTCTGGCTCAGTTTAAATAAACTTTTTCTTTTTAACTGTAAGCTTTTGAGTTGCATCGACATTTTTTTAAATAAAATTTCATATTCTAAAGTTATCACAAAGAGAAAATTATGCATATTAATACACATTTTCTCACTCTTAATGTAAAATTGATAATATATCGACTTACTAAAAAGACATTTCGAAACATCAAACATTCCTTTATGCAACTTTATTCCCATAGCATCCTCCAAACAACTCGTCTCTACAGAGTTATCGTTAATAGCGTAGCGAAAGCCTTTGAACCCCAAATGGTGTACAGTATCAACATAGTTTAAAAGATGCGTTCTACAAGCTTCACCAGCAATAATAGTTATTTCACGTTCAGGATCCAAATATGGTGTAAACAATGAATTATCAAAAGCTTCCGATAACTCAATTGGACAGTATTGGGAATCAGTTGTCTGCTTTAAATTCTTTAAGCGATTAATTTGTTCAGGAAAGAATTTTTTTTGATTCAAAGAATTAACTCTAAAAAAATTATTTACTCCATTTTTTGAACCTATTTTTACATTGTATATTTCTTGCTTCTTTTTGAGTGCCTGGAATGGCATTGTATTAATAAAAATAAGTAAATTTAAGTAAATGAGTTAATAAAATTTACATTATGCAGCATCCCACAGTTTGAAACAATATTTGGTACATAGCTGGACAGTGAATTTAAAGCAGGTGTTGTAAAGTTCCACAAAAAATAATTTATTGTTTCTTTTATTAGGACCGGTTCCTTTACTGTTATAGCGTTAAAAGCATGTCTCACAAGAAAAACCCAATCATGGAATTTAGCAGCAGTGCCGAACAAAATAAAGTTTGGTAAAATTATTGTTTGATTAAGTATATCTGGAGCACAACTGCCGACTGCGTCAAACTGTATGTCGTCATAACGTAATTTCTGATAGGTAAGACTAGAGTCAGTTTGGTTCAATATTTCATTTTTTCCCTTAATACGATACACGATTGGTCCTATCTCTTGCAGCTTAATTTTTGAATCACTACCGTTAAGAAAAGCTTCGCCATTCGTGACGTTAAATAGGTAACTTTTCAAAGTTCCATATGGCGATGATATCCAATTTTCTTGTGAGGGGAAGCCTTTTCGAAATCGAATGTGTTCTTGTGTAAGGGCCCATTGAAAGTTTATTTTTAGCGAAATTACAAATAAAATCAAACTGATCGCTCCTAATAACGCCACTAATACAATTTTACCTAAAATTTATATTTAATTAATTTCTTTGAATCGAATGCACAATACAAACTATATATTTTACTCCAAAAACACTTCCTAGCTGGCATATTCCAATAAAGCAAGCAGACTTATATACGAGTATACACAATACTTTGAGCATTCGAATTATATTTAATTTTCTAATGATCCTCAAAATGAAATTAATGGGATATTACTCAATGTATTAGAAAATAATAAAAAATAAATCAAATTATTATCGCAAGTGGATTCGTATACAGGGTGAATTAATAAAAAAAATATTACTTTAGAATTTTAAATTTATATGAAATAATAAGATCACAATACAATATTACGATTTTTTTACTTTGCTGACGTTTAAATCATGGGTTTTATGTCGTGCATGTTAAAACTAAGTAGCACATTTTTAATAAACCAAATTATGTTATAATTAAATTAGCAAATAATATTTGGACATAAGCATTTATTTCTGTACCCTGTTTCTTAGGTATCATAAGGTCAGATGAAAAGATTGATTATTTCAATATATGTATTTATATACATACATTGTATTAATAAGAATAGGCTTGGCATAATAAGCACTTTGTTATCAATGCTTCTCTTCGCAATTAAACTAATTCTTTTAGTTATAGTACATATATACCATACATAGTATTTTGCATTGTGTAAGTATGAAAAAAAGAAATCATAGAAGAAGCTGCTTTCAGTTAGCTCGAATGTTAACAATGCTTTTGCATTAGCATATCTATAAAAGTACGATCAAAAATTACAAGCTAACTAATTGCTCTAAACTATCTGAAAAATACTCAACAACAAATTACTGTTTTCAGTTAAAAATATAATTGGTTAAAAAGGGAACAAAATTTTGATTTCATGAAAACTTCAATTTCATGTATACTCAGCCAGTGCTTCCCAAACTTAGTTTTGCCATGACCCGGTAATTTTCACACTTTCCTTTTGCGACGCACTTAATAATATTAAACTCAAAATGGTTACATGAGATTAAATAATACACGTTTAATAATAGTAAGTAATAATGTTAATAGTAAAATAGTTAATAGTTAATAGTAATAATCTTTTATTAATATTAAATTACAATATTTTGGTATCTTTGGTACTCATTTTTTAGGGCGAAGTATATACATAGCTGTTGCTTATTTATAATTATAGAGTTCAAGTTTGCTGAAATTGCTAAGAGTTTTATTCAGAGATCGGGTTCCACTTCCAGCTGTTTCGATATTTATTTTTAAGGTGAACTAGTGTTGAAAACCCAGCTTCACATTTGCAAGTGGTCACAAAAGGCATTAAACAAATCATTGCTTGATGAGCTAGTATTGTGTATTCTTGACGACAAGATAACCAAAAATCAATCATTGGTCTTGTTTCAAATGTATCCTTGAGTGCTGTATCAGTTGACAGTTCAATCAACGAATCGACAAATTTGAATCTGGCAAATTTGTTTCGAAATCTAACTTAAATGTAAATGGTTCTCTTATCCAAGCTTTGTTGTCATCGATTGGAGGAAAATATTCTTGAAGATTCCTCTCCAGCTCTAATAAATGTTCTTTAAACTGAGTAAAGATGTTTTGTGGTTTTGCAGTAATGTCGTACTCTTTTTGTATTTCATATAAATTAAACCACATTATAAGCTTTTTTCTTGCAGCTTCCAAGCTGTTGTGGGGGATGTTGCTCCAAAAAAACGTTTACTCCTTCTTTTAACTCAATAAGCCTTTTTAAGATATTACCTCTTGACAGCCATCGCACCTTACAGTGTAAAAGGAGATGTTCGTGATCAATTCCCATTTCAATTCCATTTCCCAAAACAGAGAACAATCCTGAGTTAAGTGGACGAGATTTTATGAAATATATGAACTTTACACACTCTTGCATCGTTGCTGTCAAGGGTAAGGTCATTATTCTTTTACAGCTAATGCTTCCCTATGAATGATACAGTGCGCACATATACATTCCCGAGCTATGGCTTTTATCCTTGGATGTGCGCCATCACTACTTAATCCCACACAGTTCTTCCATTCAATGGCACATCTTTATTTTGTAATATTCGAAATAAATATAACTTTTTTGAAATAATTAAAAAATTAAAAAATATAATTAACTTATTTTTTACCTAATTTTTCACGATTTTGTAAAAAAATTATAATTTTTACAATTTTTCTGAAAAAAGTGCTTCATACGAGGTGTGTTCAAAAAGTATCGCGAATTTTGTGTTTTTTTTTTTTTAATTATTTATTTACTCATGAATATCTAGTTTGTCCCCTTCAAAGTAATCCCCATGAGATATTATACACTTGTGCCAACGGTTTTTCCAATCTTCGAAGCACTTCAAAAAATCATTTTTTTTTTTTTTTGTATCTTCTTCAGCTCCTCCTTCGATGCCGTCTTTATTTCGTCAAAAGAAGTGTAACGTCCTACTTTCATGGGCCTCTTCAGTTTAGGGAACAAGAAAAAGTCACAGGAGGCCAGATCTGGGGAATACGGTGGCTGCGGCATCATTAGTGTGTTGTTTTTGGCCAAAAAGTCGCGCACAAGCAACAATATGTGAGCAGGGGCGTTATCATGGTGCAAAAGCCAATTGTTGTCACATCTTCTCGGCCTTCTTAGAACATTTTGTACCACCGATAAACATTGCTTCGGTCCAAGGTAGCTTCTCCGTATGCCACAATCAACGTTCGGAATGCATCCGCGCACTTAATTTCGTTTTTCACACAAAATTTGATACAGGTTCTTTGGTCCATTTTTTCGAATAGGTAAAAATCGAGGACTTTCCAAAACACGTGCAAGCAGCTGTCAACAATTAAATGAACATTCAAAATGGCCGAGCTTGTCGGCATAAGTGAGAGACATGAGTACCAACGTAACGCCACAAAAAATTCGAAATTCGAATATACGTAACCCGCGAAAATTCAAAATTCTCGATACTTTTTTAACAAACCTCGTATGATACGAGATCACGCATATGTGACATTCTCTATGTAACTTTGTATATTTTTCTTCAAAGCATTTCTCTTTATTCATTCTCCCGTGAATTCAGTCGTTTTACATATATTTCTGCCTTTGAACGTGCACATTTTTGCTAAATAGCAGCGAGAATGGTGAATTCCGTACTACAATTCTATAAGCTCTGTTAGACGTTCAATCGAACATCATTCAATTTGCACCTTCTCTATATCTTTAAGTTCTCTGGCTGAGCTTTCGCCTCGCACTTTTGTTTCAACTTGAGGTCAGTTATCAGCGGTGAGTGGCATGTGCGGGCGCGCGCTCACCGATCTCCGCTTACGAATATTACATTGCATCGATCGGTCGATAGTAGGTATTATTTTGAAAACAAGGCGAGAATGTGGCCCGGTACCGGTTCGCGACCCGGCATTTGGGAAACGCTGTACTAAGCAATTGGTTTAATGTAATGTCTGTGAAACTCTCCTTCATAACCAGCTAAAATTAATTTGGAATAATAATTGCAGGGTTTATTATGTTAGCTTTAGTCAGAAGTTTAGAAGGCATCAATATCCGAACCTTCTGTCCGGAAAGAAATTGAGGGGATTTTGCGATACTGAAATATTTTTCTACGCAACAACGACTGGATGGTGATCAGGCTGCAGGGGCCAGAGGAACCATACCACCAATAGCTGATACTCCTAGACAAAGAATCCCACGGTAACCCAAAGTGAATTCAAAAGCTTTGGTTTCTTTCCTAATAGAACCCAGGGCGGATAACACAGAGTCTTTGGTAGAAGAAGGACGAAGAAGTCCAAACGGGCGTGAAATTGGCTCAATTCTTTCGGATATGGTGAGCACCTCACACAATTGCAGTTTGACGTAAAAAAGATAGTGCTGTTTTATAATACTGGAAATATAATAAAAAGTCGAAAAGACGCTATGGTTTAATTAACCAAACATGCTGATAAGAAGTTATTTAAGTACCTCTTCAAACGCTATGAAAATGAGTAAAATCAGATAATAACCACGCCCACTCCCCATATAACGGTTATGTTCAAACCGATTAAAAGTGTTATAGTTCACTGAATAAATCCGCCACAACTTAGACTTCACAACCAAGGAATTATGGTAATCCGCAATTTCACCCCATTTTGACTATTTTCTCTAATCAGAGGCCCTGCGACTTGTATTTCTGAAAAATTATACAGATGTCCGGCTTTAATATTTTCTTCAAGCATTAGATCGCTAGCATTAAAATCTTCATTAGTTTTAGCAATAAATCGACGATTACGTCTGAAGAGATTGTCAAATGCGTCCCGAATTATGTATGAACGGTCACTAACCAGCCCAATAATTCTTAATTCTTCCGTAATGCCATTCCCTTCCATTCTAAAAATTACATTTTAAAAATTACCAAATCCCTTTCCTTCAATAATGGCAGTGACTTCACATTTTGATCATCGTAATATTTTTGTTTTCTTTTTTTTATAGATTTTTTCTTGAATAGCCGAGGAGGCTATATTTGTTTCTTACAAGCAATTGTTCCGACATTGGCAATTTCGTTTTCATCAGCCTAACAAAGGATAATTCCGATGGAGTAAAATGCATGATTGCGACCGCCGTAGTATTATATTTACGGCGACCATCCGTACCTACTGATTTTCACAGATTTTGAAGCACCCGTTCTGCGTTTTTTTTTTTTTTTTTTTTTTTTTTTTTTTTTAAAATTTTTTTTTTTTTTTTTTTTTTTTTTTTTTTTTTGTGAAAATGGCAAAAATGTTCTGTTTTTTCCGAACGTACTGTTTTTTCTTCTGAAATTTAGCACAAAGCAGCTTAAAAAGTTTCTACTACTGGACAGACTTTTATTGATTAAGATATTATCAATATTAAATTGTCATGCCTGATGCAAACAGCTGATTGCGGGATCAAATTAGTTTGCTTTCTGTAATGTTCTATTGACAAACAACTAGGTAAGTTTTATTGCCAGTAGTGTTAAAAACTTAAATTGGGAAGAATTCTTTTGTTTTATCTTTACAAAATGCCTCCTTCCCGCAGAAAAGTGCATTTTTTAAGAACAACTACAAGAAGAATACAGAAGAAATTTGCAAAATTTTCTGCAGTTTTCTCTATTGCCAATGCAGGTAAACACGATATGCTGCGCCATTTGCAATCTCAGAGACATCGAAAAGCCCATATTCTGCCTGAGAAG